GGTTAACGTGTACTCTTTCCGTTCCTAAAAGATTCATGTTCTGGAAAAATATTTTGTTTCAAAAAGATGTATATTTTATGTTTTTATAAGAAAATGACAAGTTTTAAAAAAATTAATTGGTTTTATTAGATTACTATTGGCTAAAAATTGTTGAAAATTGAAATTTATTGAAAACGATAGTGATTTAATGTGTTTTCTTAATATGTGTGAAAACACTATAAAATCTATCTTTTAGGAACAGATAGAGTAGTTATATGGATTTTTAATGCCAAAACCCCTTAATTATGTTTCTTTTGGGTAAAAATCCCTCAATTATTAATTCAATGTATAAAATCCCCAATACACTTATCTTAACAAGTCGACCCCTCCGTTTATAACTGACGTTAGAAGCTGTGATTTGTCGTCAACTTCAAAACGCAGCAATCCAATTAAGACCAGAAACGTCACAGCATTCGTTTCTCTTCTTTATCTCATTCCAAAATTCCCAAATCAAAAATTTAGGGTTCTTTTAGGTCTTCTTCAATCTTCTTCTTCTTCGTTCATGAAAACTAAAGCAGCGAATTTTGTTCCTGCTTTGCTCTGCTCTGGCTCATGTTGGCACTCGTCTAAGTCTGTATCTTCTCCACAAATTATGCGTCATCTTGGGGTCCCTCCCGAGCAGTATTTCTTACGTTAGTGGCCAGAATTTCGTTGTGCCGTCACCTCTACCTACTTCCTTCGAAGACTCTCTTCTCTCCTTGCCATCTTGGAGATTTTACCTTGCCATCTTAATGATTTAAGTATTATCTAGTTTAGCTTTGACCTTGTTTTCAACCTTTTTTTTGCCAAGGTAGGCTCTAATTATGTTCTTCACGTTTTGTAACTTGTTACAAACAAGCTTGATATTTATATGAAATTCACATTTTGGCAAAAGTAAGCAGCTATTTTGGTTCTTATGTTTTAATTCTCTGTTGATTTGGAATACACACAAACTTGAAAATTTCAATATCTTAAAGTAACTAAGTGATTAGAATACACACAAACTTGAACATTTCAACATAAATAAGAAGCTTACGAGAAGCAAAAGAAGAGTAACATGGTTCACTTGCTTGCGGTTTTTATTTTTGTTTGTGTGCAGAGATTCTCCCGCTTGTTTCTAAGGATATAGAGCTTTGGGTCTCTTATCATCCCTTCCAATGAACCCGTATGATCAAACAAGTCTTCTCTGCGTCTTCCTTTGTGTTCCACTTGGTTCCAGGCTTCCAGCTCGTGGCTCTGTCAGTCTGGTGTGATGTGAAGCAATATATTGTGTATGGTTTGTGGTCTCCCTCAATAAAGCTAGACGGTGGATGAATGCGTTCTTTCATCTCCTCCCTATCCAGATTGATTTTCACTTGGTTCAAAGCTTGTATAGTCCTTTTATGGTCTTCAGAGACGTGATTTTTTCTGCTGCCTTGAATCACAAATGCATCCCACCCATGTATAAGTTCTTGCAATGGTAATGAAGCCTTTAGAGTTAAAAAAAGAGTAACATGGTTCTTATGAGGATCATAACTATTGAAGAGACACTATCTAAAGCCATCGCTGCAGCTCTAAAATGGCGTGGTGTGAGAGATCAAAAGTTTTCCTGTTTACATCTGCTGCCCAATATCCTCTAACATGTAAATGAATATAAATTTTCTTGTTTACAAGTAAAAATTTTAAACCCATTAAACTCATAATGAAACCAAAAGAAAACAAATAATAAAATACTTACCGGTTCATCTTTAAAGCTCCATACCGACAACTCTTTCACTCTTGATTCACTTTGCCTCACGCTTCGTTCACCCTCTCTTTTCAGATTTTGGTACAAGACACACGAAACACAAAACAACTCTTTATATCTCTGTAGAATTCACCCTCTCACAACTGAAACTCAAAAACTGCATAACTGGAAAAACTAGGGATCATCATCTCTTTCTCTCTATACTTTTAGGATTTTTAGAATACGTAACTTACATAATGTTTTAGGTCAATGCTATGTTGTTTTTTATCGCCTCAGAAGTCTCAATGCTGTGTTGTTTTATTAAGAAATCATGTAGTTTACAAAATAATCAAAACACAACGTTTTGTTTAAACGGCAAAGTTAACGGAGGGGCTGTAATATTAAGATAAGTGACTTGGGAGTTTTATACATTGAATCAATAATTGAGGGGTTTTTATCCAAAGGAAACATAATTGGGGGGTTTTAGCATTAAAAATCCTAGTTATATTTGAGTTTCAGTTATACATTAGCAGTAGTGTAGTCATTAATGGTAGTCTCCCACCTGTATCACAAAAAAATTAGTACAGTATATAATAAAAATAGTAATAATTTCGGAACCTACCAAGATCTTCATAACTTTGATACCAATTTAGGGCGACTGTGTTGCCCTTATGGTTACAGGATTACAGTAAAAGTATGAGACGGGTTTGAAGATATAAGCAAATTAAGGACCATTTTTTGGTCAACAATTAAGGACCATTTTTTTTGTCAACAATTAAGGACCATTTTTGTTGGAGTCTTTAGTATATTTATTTCTCCTTTAATTGATCTCGTGATCGCTTTTTACCCTTTACAGCCCCATTCTCCAGGACAACTTTTCCTTTATTTTTCCCTTTTCTGCAACAACTTAAATATACTTCTCAAACTGATTCAAAACTAAAAGTAGTGCAAGTCATGATTTTGTCAATTTTTGAGACGTAATTAAGTGATTATTTCGCTTGAATCAAATATTGCATTGTTATAAGTTGTGTAAGTGGGCCTCCAGCCACTAATCAGTTTAGACGGTCTTAAACAACTCTTTTTAAGAACAAAGTTTTTAGACGTCTAATATCTTTAATACAGACATTACACAGTCAAGATGAATACCTAGGATAAGACCTGCGTTTTACGCAGAATAAATTAATATAAAAATTATTTAAAAATTATTATATAGAAAAATAAATCTATATTCTTGATTGAAATAATATTTTGGTCTTTAAACAATTTTTTTAACTTTTTGTTAATTACATAATTTGTTTACTGATGAGTTGATCTCTCTTTTAGAAATGTTTTAGGTCAAAATATCACTTACCGCAAAGAACCTAACGTTTCGGATCTATTTGGTTACAATGAAACTATGCCATATCGGTTTTATATCATGATTTAGCAATTTAAAAATTAATTATGGTTATGAGAATTACGTTCGCGTGCCAATCTTATCTATCTTCAATATTTTTCTCTTTTGTGTCTTTTTTCATTTTGGTTATTGCTCGATATAAATATTGATTTTGAAGTTTATTCTCATTTCGTTTGTTTGTTTTGGCCTAAGATTTAGATAATGATTAAGATTTAAAATAATTAAAGGGATTCATACTTAGATTAAGATCTACACTTTTTACAGAATAAGTATTTTATATTTGTTAATTATTTCATGTTTTTCTGCATATTATGATATATATATATATATTAGCATAAAACCTATTAAAATAACTTCTTCATATGCTCTTGTAATAATTGTATCTTAATATAGAAAAAAATTTAAACCTTGATCATAAAAGCTTATGTGAGATTTTTATTAGTTTTAGAAATTTATACTCGTTATGAAAAATTCAAAATACAACATACACAAAAAACAAAATTTTATTAATGATTAATGTAATTGTGTAACTTAATCTAATAATAAAGAAATAAAAAATGATAAAAAGTATACAGATTGTTATTAAATCTTTATTGTTTAAAATCATTAATTGTCTTATATATATTTTAATCACATTAGATAATTCTGTAGGTTTTATTTAAGGAAATCATGCAGAACAATAAATATTTGATATATGCGACCAACTATAATCTGCAAAATATGATATTGCTAGAGAGTATAATTTTTAGACTATAGTTTATATAAGGTACTTTAGAATCCTTCTAAACTGAATTAGAATGCATAGAGAGCTGACACGTAAAACTTAAGGTTACATCTTTTCAAATGTTTCTCAATTAATATATAGGGGATTTTATAAATACTACTATTTATTTTGTTGCAAAACCAATCAATCACTCATTTACAAGATTTTAAAGTAATATATTTATCTTATATTGAAAGACATGCTTTCATTTTTTATATAATTTAACAACCATTTACTTATCTTACCGTTATTTTTATGTAAAAAAAAGGAAAAATAAATAAATTATGACCCAAAACATTAAAATTTAAAACGAAAATATATCATGTATATAACACATTATGATGACATATATATACTATTATTTCCGAAGTGATTTTTCTAGTTTGAACACTCACGTTATAAGATTAGTGGGTAATGTCATTACCCTTAACGAATTATATATTATAGAAGTAATTTATTATATAATTAAATACAAATTTAAATTTTTATCTTATTAGATGCATATTTCTTATAAATGAATATAAGAAAATGGTCAAAAGAAAAATATTTTTTAAAAGAAGATAATTCTTATATATATATTATATTGTTATAAAAATAATATTTTCTATTATAATTCTTTTATAAATTAGACATAAAACAATTGATAATTAAATCTTAACCTACAAAACATTTGTATATAATTTTTTTTGGATATTATATATGAGTGTTTTAAATTTTTAACACAATAATAAACATATATTTTGATGAAAAACTTTGTCATATACTCTCTGTCTCATTTTAGTTGTCGTTTTACATTTCTATACATAGATTAAAAATATTTAATTGTACATATTTTCAAAATAAAAACACCATTATATATACATCTAATCATATTGCAGCCAATGTTAATTACATAAAATCAATAAATTTTACATGAAAATTATAAAATAACACTTATTTTGAAATGAAAATTTTATTCTTACAATAACATATAAATTGACTAGAAATCTATAGCAGACAATTAGACATTCAATTTCACAAATACCAAAATAATAAAACAATAGTCATTTTGTAGTGCCTTGATGGGCTTTATTTTTTAAATGGGTCCAATATTTGACATAATCAACCTTTTTCAGTTTTCATGATGTTATCTCTGCAATCCCCACTTCTTCTTGTTGCTTCTCTCTACTTTGAGCTTTATTAAAACTTGTGGTTCTCTTACGATGTGCACGGCCTTGTCTGTGATGATCCCACTCGTGCCTTCCTCTTAGCACCTTGTTCCCACAAGCCTGCTTCAACAAACATCTTTTCAGTATCTACCGATTTCACTTTTTGAGTTTTAAGAAGAAACATATTGTACCTCACAAACATATTGACTCCATAGATCTCTTTCAGCTGACTTTCCTAAGGTTGAATCATGACATGATTCAGTTTCTGTCTTCAGGAAGCACTGGATGATCTCTGTGGTAGGTTTAACCACTTGCGCATCCCATGACTCTTCAGATTTGCCTAAAGAACAAACCAGTAAGAGAGTTTTTGTTAAAGTTTATTCTCGATGTTAACTTTTAGTTGAAATACTAATGAAAACACACACGTACTTAATAAGCACTCAGTTGCATCAATGTGATGAATCTTCCAACCAAAGACCGTTTCTAGCCGACTTACTCTTCTCTTCTGAATCACAAACATAGACAAAAATGAAATGCTTCAGAAACAATGAATCAATTCTACGTTTAGAGTCTCACGAAAACGTTTTTGCTTACTTGACGACGCAGGAGCCTTCTGGTATTTAACTTCACCCTATCAATTGCTTCCTCCAACATAATCCTCAACTTATCATCTTTTGGAAAACCCAAAATCTTCCTCAGATCATCCTTCATAGCTTTATCATCGTTGCTTTCTTCCATCCTGTCTGGGAGATACGTTTTAAGGAAATCTTCAAACTCTCTGACACCAATGGATTGCCTTAGGCCTCTAGTATAATCGGCTCCTGGTTTGTAGATGTCATATACTTCGTCAAGTAGTCCAGCATCTACCATGGTATCAACTCTTTCTCCGACATAATTGTCCAGGACCGTGGTCTCAGCGTCCATACATATCAAACAGTAATCGAAACGAGAGGCGTCGATGCATCCCCAGTTCTGCCCTGCCGCATACATTAATTAATTAACTTCTCAAAGCAGAAGCATCATAAGTCTATAGAGAGACAAAAGAACATGTAAGAGAGAAATGTACCTCTGCAGCGTTTCCCTGATATAGGTTGCTTGGAAGAACTCCTCTAGTAGCATGCAAGCTCAGGTATTGATTAATCTACAAAACATTGGACCAGAGTGAGTAACAGACAAGTAAAGGATCAGTGGCTATCTATCTAAACATATAAGGAAACAGTAAATAAAAACCTCACTTTTCGGTGATTATTAGGATGGATTCGATTAGCTGCCACAGGATCAAGCTCTTTAAGAAGGTCATAGCTATGGCTCAAATCATCTAACCCAGAGATAGACTCGGCCATCAAGCCTTCAAGGGTAAAAAATGCCTCATTGTATAGTTTATAAAAAAATTAAAACGTTGATAGAGAGACTCAAGATACCTGGGGTAACATTCAAAAAGCAATCATTGGTATCTTCTGTTGAATCATCAAGAAGAAATTTACTAACAACAGCCTACATGAACAACATTATTAAGAGATAAGATAACGGTGTTACATGACATGAATTAAGCATGAAGAAGAAACAAGATTTACCTGTATGTAATAGTTAGTTCCTCCAACGAGAACAGGAATGTGATTGCGAGAAAGGATCTCCTCAATAAGCTGTGAGAGAGACAAACCAACCTCAGTTATATTATCCCAACCAACCAAAACCATTACTTCATAAGGTGAATTTTTTCATATTAAAACTGCAGGAGGACATAAAGATACAGAGCAGCAGCATAATGTCATAACTTGAAAGTAGTACACAATCATGGGAACACACCCTACAAATAAAAAAATGAAACAATTATACTCACAGGAAAAGCCGAGTCACGAAAATCCTTAGCAGTGAACTCCATATCTGGGCTCACCGTCCCTAGTAGATGATGAGGCACTCCTAACAACCCCACATCAAAAAACAAGCTAATAATTACACTGAAATTTCAGAACTTAAATTCGGAGCATAAGAAGTTAATATAACCTTTCTGCTCAGTGATGGTGACCTTATTAGTGAGAACGTCGAGGCCACTGTAGATTTGCATTGCGTCGGCGTTTATGATCTCCACCGGAAATTGAGAAGCCAAGTCAACGGCTAGCTTCGATTTCCCAGATCCTGTTGAACCCATTATCACCACCACTTTCGCCTTCTGGCCGGTTCCGCCGTTGCTAGGGTTTAACGACATCGCGCCCAAACCTGGAATCTCCCTCCGACTTGTTAACCGGAGTTCGCAGAAACGAGTAGAGTTAACCGATTTCAATTCTTTTTGGTTGTTAAAATTATAAAGGCTCATTTATTTTAGTGGGCTATAATATTTCGGCCCAACATGCGTGCTTTGTAATACAACATTCCCTGCGGTTTAAGCTTTAGTTTAGGGTTCTTTTGCAATCAATATTTTGGATTTCACTTTAATTCTCTGTCTTTGGAGTGTATTTTCCTTTTTCTTGTATCTATATGCATCCTTTCATTTCTCATGTATTATGTATATCGATGATGTATTTGATGTGTGTCTGATTTTTTATTTTGAATCTATTTTCAGAATGGCTAATCTCTTACCTGTGTTCTTGGATTTAGATAATCTTTATGAAAATGCATTGTTTTTTTTTTGTTCAAGTTTTTTTTTGATCAAGTGAAAATGCATTGTTATTGATTTGTTTTTGGCTATATATATAGAGATGTCAAATAAAATAAAAAAATGGAGAAACTTGACCTTGAAGGAGACTCTATTGTCAATATGAATCATATGATTATTCAAAAAACCGTCAAACCTATATGGGTTGTATCCAAAGATATGGAAAGGGATGTTTTTATGTAGCAATAAAAGTCCAAATTCATGGAATTGTCTATCTTGTAACGGTTCAATATAAATAGAAGCGATTTCATGCAAATCTACCCTTACTAATTTTATATCTTTTTAGATTAAAGGTTTAGTTTCATATTTCTTCAATATAATAAAAATATCTTGAAGAAAAGTAATTCAGAATTAGTCGGTTAGAACCCATCTTAACAAGGCCATTATTTATATGATTCCGTATGCCAACCATTAAACAACTTATTAGAAATACAAGACAACCTCCAAAATATCATGAAATCCCCAACGCTTCGAGGATATCCTCAGCGACGAGGAACATATACTCGGGTCTATGTGCGACTCGTTTATATAATAGACTGAAACACAAATTTTTTTTTTTTTTTAAATATCAAGGATCAGGTATATATATTGTCAAATAAAATAAAAAATGGAGAAACTTGATCTTGAATCAGACTCTATTGTCAATATGAATCATATGATTATTCATCATGCATTCTGAATCTTTAGAAAATTTGATAGAGCTCATCCCCATTCTGAATCTTTAGAAAATTTGATAGAGCTCATCCCCTGCAAGGTTCTATCTACCCTATGATGAGGATACATTAACCAAAGTAGTTTCAAGGTCTACTTAGCAAGACAGAGAAAACTATTGCCAAGAAAAAATCAATTGATACTCTCAAGAAGGCAAAAAGATATAGGTTAAATCTGGAAAATCTTTTTCTGACCACTCTTTATCTGAAGAAAACGAAGAAAATTGAGAATTTGAGATGGATATCATCTATGATTGCTGATCTTTACGAAGTTGATACTTGTAAGAAGGTGTGACAACATTTCCATCAAATTTTAGAGGAAGAAACACCCAAGTTCTGAGGTTGAAAATTGAATGTTGAGGCTGTGAATAATCTTACATATTTTTATGTAAGATTGGGGAAGACAATGATGAGGAATACGGAAAAAAAAAAACAGAAAGAAAATGATAACTTCTAAGTTGGAAGAACTTTAAATAGCAATGAAGTTAGAGGATTCGTGGAAAGATCCAGTGGAAGGGATATTGTTGCAAAGAAACATTCATTCCCAGCGGCTATAACAGAGCTTCTGGTATCAAGACTCATGATGATCTAAAGCTATTAAAGAATAGAATCCACAAGGAAAGAGAAGAGGCGCTAGAAGACCGCAGAGAAGTGAAATGAAAGACTTAAATGGCGGGCAGAAGCATAAGATGGAGAAAAATAAAAAGGGATCAGAGAATATTCGTGATAAGCTTCAACAGAAGAAGATCATCAAGAGAGAGATAGAGAAAAACACTCTTTGAATGAGGGAGGCAAACTAATGAAGTACAATGTTTGCATATGCTTCTCTGTGTTCAAGATACATTGAATAAGCCTAAGAGGTAGATTGCTGTTATAGACCAGTTACAAAACTTGCAGGGTCAGGAATAAAAAGAGCATATTTATGTGGAACATTGTCACAACACATGAAAACATAAGAATGTGAATTCATACCGAAGCTTTAACACATTTCTTCTAAATCAGGAAATCAAATCTGATCACAAAGACAAGCAAATATCGAATCAAACAATTAAAAAAAGGTGCAAAAGAAATAAGCAAAGCTGGCTGATCATCTTGTGTTAGCGTAAGGAAACGTCAATGCTTTTGCTGAGTTCATCAAGCTTTGTCATTCTCAGTTTCTCGCTTTCAGTAACAAGCTGAACACATTTCACACCAAAAAAAAAAGAATCAGAAAATAACGATCGTAGTAAACAGAAAATACAAAAACAATTGAGACAGAATGTTTCACCTCAACTAGCTTGCTAACAAACATAGCTTTCTCTTTGTTCTTTTCATTGTATGCTTCAAGTGCTTCTTTGAATTCCCTCTCCTATAAACAACAACCACTAAGACAGGAATCTGCAAGAAATATAAGATTAGTGAAACAAACATCATTACCTTTTTTTGACAACTCTGTCCTAATGGCTTGAGTTCTCGGTTAATAGCATCAACTCTTTTCCTTAACGCGGAAACCTCCTTACGCATTGGATCGGTAAGAGCTTCCAGCTCCTGAAAAATTTGTATAACCACAACTCTCTTGACATGAATTTTCCCAACTTCTTGAAAATGTTAAAATAAAAACTTACTTCACGAATCTCGGCTAATCTTCTAGTAGCTTCCTCAGCGAGTCCAAGCTTTCTCTGGACCCTTTCCCTAACCTCCATCTTCCTCCTCTCAATCTCATCTTCTTTTTCCTTATACATAGCCAACACGGAGCGTGAAAGCTCCTCTTCTCTGTCATCTACCATGGGACTTCCACTGATGCTTATGGTACGTTGAACAAATGGTGATTGTGGCTGCTCCAACATCTGTCTTGTTGTTGTCATTGTTCCTCCAGATCTTTCTTTCTCTCCCTCTTTAAAGAGGATGACTTGTTATATAACCCAAGACTTGGCCTTAAGAGCCTATCACAACTCATTAATATGTTGCTTCTGTTTCTTTAGCTTGTTAATGGTGTTACGATGTCAAATGACCAAAACGCCCACATGGCCAACACACCATTACTGATTAAACATCTACCTTAGACTAACTTAGAGACTTAAGAGGTCAAAGAAATTAATTTTAATATGAATTTAACATTAACTTGGTTCAAAGAAAAGAAAGGAATACCATGTGGGGATAAAGCTCTAGTAGGTTAAGATGTTTCTTTTCAATAGGTAATTAACAATTTTCTTGAGTTTGGTATATTTGATATAGGTAGCTAAAATGTTATTCTCACTGTTTGTTCCCAAATTATAGATAAGACAAATATATATCCCGATAAAGTTGGCACATGTATGGATTGGATCAAGATTAGAAAATAAATGTTAGGTGTGTAGTTGAAGGCAAAACAGAGAAGAAAATGATATTGTACTTTGCAATTGAGTTTTCATAGAGATCAAACTGAAAATAACAGATAATAATATATTTCTTTTTCTTTAGAAAAGAAAAAGCCAGAATAAAGATGTTCCGTGGAGTGGAAAGATGAGTGCTTGTAACGGAAGGTTTCTTATAATGTGGAGGAGACAGTAAAATATGGGGGTGCTGTCAACTGTGGCTGAAACTTATGGGAAAAGCAATTGTTGATCATATACATGTACCAAGGCGGGTGCCTATACGCTCTATACAGTAACAGAACTAGCGTTAATGAGGATTATTCAGAGTCTATATGGGTCCTAAACGTTAAAGGATCAAATTACTTATTTATTATAAAGAATATTTAAATTAAATATTTATATTTTTCTGTTTAATTAGAAACTAGGTGGACGGTCCGTACGCATGTGCGGACATTAATATAATCTATACATTGCATGAATAAAAAATAATATAAATGTATAAATATATTGTAACTTTTTTTCTCTTTTACATAGATATTCTGTTTTTTTTAATATATTTTTCTATCTTACTTATTTCGTTTCTCCTTGTAATTTTTACACATTCGTTTTGTTTCTTATGTATCTATTTGCATTATTTTTGTATGTCTTTGTACACCCCTTTCGCTCTCTTTTTCTTTCTCTCTCTCTTAGTTGATCAAATAATCTCAAAATCTCTCAAACTTACATTCACTCTCTCACAATCACTTATATTCATTCTCTTACCCTCGTCCTTAATATGATCCTCAATATTTCACTTTAAAACTCTTTTTATCTCTCTTTGGTTGCAAAATTTTCACCAAATTTTGTTAAATCTTCAAAACACTTTCACATAGTATTAATAAATGATTTCAGAATCTATCTCACTTATATTCAATCTCTCACTTATATTCACTTTCATCTTCATTTTGATCATAATCGACTCTCTAATCATTATCATCACCATATCTCCCTCTCTTTCTCCCTTTCTTACATATTTTTTATTTAGAATTTAATATAAAATCACAATTGGCTAACCAAATAAATTCATTATCAAATTCTCTCCAATCTTCACATTATCTTATCAAACATTGATTCATTTGACCAAAATTTTCATTGAAAAAATAAATATCTTAATTTTTTTTATTACTTCATCACATACATATTTTAAGTAAATCTAAATAACTTTATTTCAAAAAATTAAATTTGATCAAATAATTATATAACATAAAATATCTTAATTCTTAAATGATGTGATGTCATTACTTTAGACATAGATTAATATAAACGTGAGATTCAACAGTTTTAATAGATCAAAATAACATGTTTTTAGATGTATAAATTTTGTTATAACTTTGTTATCATATATTTTAAAAGTTTATTACACCGGAAAATACTTATCATTATTTTAACATAATTTCTTTTAAATTTAACTTGCATTATATTTTCCATCTTCAACATTAACAGTTTTATAACTTATCATTTATATTTATCTTATTTGCTCAATTTTTCTTTATGTTGTATAAACACCTAAAATAATTAGCTTACAATTATATTAATACGTAAAAAAATATTTTGGTATACAAATAAAAAATTATGTATGTACAAATAAAAAATAACGAAGAATACAACAAAAGGTTTTATTATTATTCACTCATGTTTTTATTTATGTCCCTTTTCTTTTTTTTTCTTATTAAAAATAAATATGCCAATTTTATTATACTTAAAGCTATATGAATTATATGAATATAATATTAAATCTAGTTTTGTATTAATATAATGTTTTGATTTTTTGTAATTTTATATTATAATAATCTTTTTCATTTATTCATATTTTTAAAAAATGACGCACCATATAATTTTCTGTTTTAAATATAAAAAAGTACTTAAATAATTTTTGAAAGTGATAACTCAACTATACTATCGACATTTATCTCTGGAAAATGATATATATTTTTTTAAAAATTATATTTGACTGTTTTGCATTCATTGAACATATTTTAAGAATACATATATATATAGTGAGTGAGTATAAAAATATTATTAGTTTTCTGTAATGTATGATTTTTTATCCACTATTAATAGAAAAAATTTAAAATTGTTTATATACTTATTTCTATAATATAATATGTATTTATATGTATATACTAATTTTTTATTATAGAATATGTGATATTTAATTGTTTCTATAAACAAATTATATTAATCCTATGTATTTAAGATGATTAATTGTTTATTTGGTAATATATATTAGATTAGGTAATTCTAGGATTAGTTTCCTTTTAAAAACTTTAATTAATTAAATAAAAATTTAAATGCCAACAACCAATCAAATTAAGAGAATTAATTCTACATTGAACCTATGAATGACACGTAAGTAAAATTCATTAAAGTGACTTCTCTTTTAATATATAGGGGGATTTACTTTGATGAAAAATCTATAATAATAAAGTACACAAATCTGCTCACACAAGCGGCCACGTCCTTCTGTTGATAGGGGGGTTATTCGACACATGTCGCCCTCTAGTTGGCTGAATTTTTTTTTAAAAAAACAAACGTAGTGGGCTGGGTAATAAACTTTAAGCCCAAATCGCGTTTTAGCTCTAGGGCCGTGTTTATTTCGGCGACTGTAAAAAAAATTCTTTCTTCTTCCCCGACTTTTGTGCTTCTCATCCATGCCATTCCTCTGTGAAATCAGAGAGACTCTTATCGATTCTTAACCGTAACGCCTCCCCTCTCCTAAACTTTTTCATTTATTTCCGAGTTTAGATTCGAGTAATCCACGCCTCTCTTTTTAAGTTTGCTTCGCAACTCTTCGCTTTCTGGCAAACCGATTGCAGCTCAACTATAAATATCTGTCCCTGTTAAGATGAAAATCCCAAGACAAAAGAAAGCTAAAAACTCTGCAACTCCAAAAGAAGCTAGCCATGGCTAATTCCTACACGTTACTTGCTGACTTGAAGGCTGGGAGATGCTCCAATTCGGCTGAGATCTGGCTCCTCCGATTCTGGGAAGCCAGGAACCTAAACAAAAATAATCAGCCGATGAGCATCGAGATGTTGATGATCGAGAATGTAAGTTCTTTTCCAATCTCATACAAACATCTTTTCCCTTGGGTCGGTTTCTAATTTCATAGATAATACTTATTGAAATTAGGAAGAAGAAAGAAGAGAGCTTACCGTTCTTCAAACTCTTCTCCTTCGCAGACAAATTCGATTACCATTTGATGATCACTGGCACTCTTGGCGCCATCATTCATGGCTCCTCCATGCCTGTCTTCTTCTTGCTCTTCGGTGAAATGGTTAATGGATTCGGTAAAAATCAGATGGATTTACATCAAATGACACATGAAATCTCAAGAGTAACCCTTCCTTCTCCTCTTTTTTTTTAACTCATTTTAAAAAATAAAATTAAAAACAGATCTAAGATCTGATCTGTTATGTTATGTCATAAAAAAAACTGCAGTATGCTCTGTACTTTGTCTACTTGGGTTTGGTCGTTTGCTTCTCCTCATACGCAGGTTTGTCAAATAAAAACCCAAACTTTCTTTTTCTTCACACTTCAATCAATAAACCCAGAACCAGAAATCATATGATAGTCTACAGATTTGCTTTACAAAAGTTAACCGAAGGCGTCAGACAGCTTATGATTCACACTTGGTAACTATTTATAAATGTTTGCCAGTAGTTCCTCTTAGTTTTAGTTGCAAAATTAGCACTCTCTCAGCTGTTTATAGTATATATTAGACACAAAGTGTCCCACATCGGAAGTTGGAAGGGATTCTTAGTGATATATAAGATAGATGGGCCAATCCACTTATCACCAATTGGTTTTAGGTTGGAAGCCTATCTACTTTAATATGGTATCAGAGCCCACGTTCCACGCAGTCCAACCCGATCCTTATCGATCCTTGCCCGAACATTCCGAGATTGATGTCAAATAGCCATCATCTCGAGGGGGCGTATTAGACACAAAGTGTCCCACATCGGAAGTTGGAAGGGATTCTTAGTGATATATAAGATAGATGGGCCAATCCACTTATCACCAATTGGTTTTAGGTTGGAAGCCCATCTACCTTAATAGTATAGTCCTAAGCTTCTCTCAACATTTTTAAATACTAAGTTCTAGAGCTTCTCATATTTTAAGTTTACCTTAAGTTGGCAAATCTCTTGATTCACGCTTGGAACATTATAACTGTGATTGTTGTTTTCCTCTGAATTTATCATTTATGTGCAACTGAACAACCATCGTGGGTCTCAGTTGGTTTATCGGCGCATTGCTAATATTGATATGGTTTGGCTATGGTTTTATAATCTAGAACATTTTTGAATAGATTTTTAAAAAATAAAAATGTATTGATCATATGGAGATATATTAATTTGATTTAAGTCTCTGCATAGTTATTATAATAGCTTAGTTGTTTATTATTTGATTGAAAATTATTAATTTTAACTATGATTTAAGATTAATTTATAAATGTGGACCTCATCATGGTCATGGAGGTAATTACATGATAGAATCCTTGATAGAATTTCAAAGAAATTTAAGTTAAAATATAATGATTTAAGATTATTTTTTATATATTGGTATAAATAGATCCTTGATAGAATTCCAAAGTTGATTATTGTTTGAAATTTATCATGTTTATGTAGGTAAATGACAACCATGGTGATGATATGCATGGTTTTGGAGCTTTGAATAGAACTCCACCTGTTTTGACACCTGAGGAAGAACATAAGAGGTTTACCTACTCATGTGATGCTGATGGGCATATATGGCCGTAGATGATCCAATTGAAGCCCCTATTACTGTCGGTAAAACTGTAGACTAGGAGAGGAATTAGCTCATGAGGAAGGTCGCTCTGCCAAGAAGACCCACGAAGGTCAAGTGTTAAAGACCAGGAGTGATTGAGACTCAAAACACTCTTACAGCTTTTTTGCATTCAAGGCTTTAATATTTACATCATCAAAAACTAAAAGTACTATTTATAAACTTATAGAGTATATTAACAGAATTCTTTTTCAAATACCTGTAAATTACATCTTCACGTTGCATTGTAGAAAGTAGTCTTCGGGTCTTCGGCAACAAAGACATTTGTCCTTTGTATTTTATTTCAGCTTTCATAAGTACTTCAGTAGATTCATTTATGAATGTAAACATATCTAATATATCAGTTTGATGTATTAACTATTATCACTAATACTTCAACTATAAGGTTTTTGTACTTCTCTCCACCATCCACCTGTAACCAAAAGTTGAGAAGAGCTATTTAAATCAATTCCACTTCTTCGTTTAAGGTTTTACGAAGGAAAAACAAAATAACACCTAGATACACATTAGCTTTTTGGACCTGAACCTTCAGCTGCCTAAGACTTTTAATTATTCTTTCAGCATTCGACGGTAAGCCAGAATTTGTTCTACAAACAACAAATAAAATTAGGTTGACAGAAACTAAAAGTGAACTAAATTATAGTGTGTGGTTATTTAACCAAAAGGTAAAAGAATGATACAAATAATTCTTTCACAGCCTTTAACGACATTTCAACAACGAAATTCAAATGACATGTGTGGTTAAGCAGGAAGAAGATAGAACAAGCAGCATATATAAACTTTGTTCGGCCATTGAGAAGAAGCTCTCTATACTAATACAATCATTGTAAACGTACTCTTTAAATACTAATTATTTTTTCCAGTTATTATGGTTCATTGGTCTTCAAATCTGACAATATATATTCAAATGTTAATGATCAAAAAGTATTAGGTTTTTATGTGTGTACCTAACTTAAAATACTTTTTATCACAGTGAATCAGCTATTGTTTTTCACATCATATACAACAGCTAAATCAAAAGTTGTATAAAATAAAAAATAAAAGGTAAAACAAAAAAAAATTAAAGGAAAATAATACAAATTAATGCAATCGACCACAAATGTTTTTTTTTAAATTTATTCTTATCCCATAGTCAAATTAGAAAACCATATACAAAAATATTTAAAAAAATCATTTTCATGAAAAAATTAGTGGCCAAACAAGTATACAATCTCAAAAGGGAATAACAAAATATATAGTATTTTAAAAATAAAAATTAGTAAAATTTAATACTATTTTCAAAGTGTTTCCACTTCGCTTTGCTAATCCACTTCTGCAAGATGATTATGGGTTTCAACGACCTCCTGGAATGAAAATAAACCAAAAACGCTATCTGTTCTTAACATCTAAACAACATCTAAACACTTAACTTCTATGTTATTTTAAAATTTTAAATTATCGGTGTTGAGTATAAGCAAAGTTTACATGCATAACTTCATCGCCTCACAGGAGTAGCTTATCGTTTGCATTTTCTTATCTACATTTTATAAATAAATTTATTCCAAATTCAACTATATATGAATGACTATCACTTCAACTATCACATGTCATCTACGAGAATTCGTAGTAAACACTACATCTACGACAACTTCCTTCTAAAACAAAAAAACGGCGTTCGTTTGTGACCTATTATTTGCAAGCAGTTCATTTTTAGACAACCCAAAGTAAATTTTATAAATCAAAAAAACAAAATTATTATTATTTCTTTTTTTTTGGTCAAACATCTATACCCGGCGCGTAGCGCCGGCCACCCCCTAGTAGATATCTAAAAAAAATCTAAACAAACTTGTGAATTTTTACTATAAAAATAAGTTGGAAAAGAAAAAGATTATCAGTTGTTATAACCATGATAAGGAAAAAGAGTACAACTACACACATAATCACATTTCTTCTCCTGGAAGCAATATCTTCAAGATATGCATTCCAATCGAGTATATCTCTTTTGGGAATTGAGATTAAACAGAATAAACTCTTTTGATTTCTGTTATAATATTCATGTCTTTAGAATTTTGGTCTATATTTCTCCTTTGACATAAATAACAATTTCTTAATCTATTAAGACTTCAAGTCAAACATCTTTACATACAGTCATATAACCATTCGTCTTATACATAAGAGTTATTCATGCTCTTATTGTAAAGTTACTTTTATGACTTTCTTTATTGTCATATGTAATCACATCTTTTAATCACATAAAATATTAGTAACTTTGCTCAAATAAAACTTTAAGTATGGTACTTCAAGACCAAACATATATGAGCATCTTAATACAAGAATCTTTAAGATAACACTCATTTTTAGATATCCCATTTCGAATACATAAAGACAATAGGGTATTGTCAAGAGTTTTATTCCAACATACAAATGTTTATAACTTTTCGTGAGTTTTTATTATATTCAAACCAATAATCTCTTGATATATAAAAATCATGTATTGTTTAACTTTGAATATTTCATATATCCCATAAGCATATTTCGATCAATAGCTAGAGTTCCCGGGAACATGATTTTGATATTATCAATCCTTTATGAATTTTATCTTTCGGAGATTTTCATTTCCAGTGGGTCATATAACTCAAGTTTTCCTTTATTGCCACACTAATAAGGAACTTGAAAATAGTTGCATCTACCACATGAGACTATGTCTTTAATAATCATTTTCACATTGATTTTTTTTTGGTGCAACGACTCATTTCGATCCCACATGTTTTACACATTATGTATATGGATTATTGGTCCAAATACTTATCTCTTTTATAAGAGTTTCTAGTTTTGTCTATTACTTTTTTCTGATTTGGCCAATCATTTCTTTGTGTACACTTTTCAATAGACTTTATTTCATGATCCACTTTCTCATTTATCATGTCAACTGCTACTTTACGTGCATACACATCATCGACGTCGATTTGCTTATCGGTTCCATTTTATTTCATACATGACTTAACTTTATTGAAATCTCTTCATTGTCTCAGGTACCTGAATTTCTTTCAGTCATGTTTAATGTCTCTTTTGGAGATCATTCACAAACTCTATTTCCTCGTTTTGACCATTTTCAATATGTGCTCATTTTCATTTACGAGGATTCTTATCTTTGAAATCAAGATGTCTACAACGCTTCAGGCCTGTTTAGCAGTTTGATATTGTTCTTCTAGAACATCAACTATTCTTGGAGCATTTACGGCTGGTATATGTGACTTGATCACTCTATTTATATGGGTCAGCAAATGTATCTGGCAATTGCTTTACTAAGCTCTATATCTGAATTATCTTTTGGACTTCTATTTGATGTTCTCTTTAGTCTGAGGATCAATGATAATTCATATCAACTTATTTTATTTTCCAGCAGTTTATTTTCTTCCCCTTATGTTGGAAATACTTATTTACTTTTAGTATTCATATCGAGCCTTACTTATATCCTTCAGGGATGACTCTAGATTCTTAAGTATCAATGGAGATTCATTTCCAACCTCATTCGAAACCTCATCTTAATTATAGATATGTGGTGGAGTAATTGGAATGTATATCGGATATCCAACATTCTTAGATAGAAAATGGTTGATTTCTGACCCAATACCAATGGCGGGGAGAACTAGTGAATACCTATTGGCTTGATGCGAACTAGTGTTGCTCAAAATGTTTAGCACTTATCTCAATGATTTTGCTATAGTCATCAAAGATTTTAAGAAGTGAATTCACCTATATTATAAAGATGCATGGTGGGTGATCAGTCCACGAACATCTCTTTTATTCATGCCAATAACTTTCTTTGGCAGGTGAAAACAACATTGCCGTTTTATCTTGTGAGCAAGCAACATATGTCAAGTCAAATCATTCGGAAGAATCTTCTAGTTCTTCATTGACTATTCACAAAAACTTTAAGAATCTTTTTGCATCATACTGAACCAAATGGTCTAACTGGTTCATGCCAAGTATCGTGTAAACTTCTGGTTTACTATACATTTATCTCCATTATACATTTATAAGAGGATGAAGACACTTTCTTAACAATACTTCTACTACCTTGTAAAATATTTCTGATTTGAAATGAATTTAACATTTTTTTTCGCTTAGTGTCTCATCATAATTTGTCTCAAAATCCCACAAATTTACTTTATAAAGATTCATCAATCTTATATTTAGTGTAAACATAATCATCTGGATGTTTCACTTATAATAAAATGTGAGATTCTTTAACTCTTCCCCTCGAGATGATATAACTACAAGTTTATCAATCTCGAATTGAATCTCAACATACCCTAGTTGGGTCATGTATTCTTTCTTAGATCCTTAATTTTGAGACTTATGAGAATATAATACATCAATGATTGTTTTTGTACTCTTCTGGAGTATTCATATATATTCTCTCTTTGAAGATTTTATAAGGTTTATAAGACCTTGTATTGTACTCACAATAATTTTATTTCATCCTTGATGATTGAATCATATCTCTTCTTTATCACCATTTTTATTTTATCAACTTTAAGCGAGAATATAATATGAGTTCTAAAAAGAAACTCATTGGTCTTAACCTTGACCATATATATAGATCCACATTCACATCTACAACAACTTTTATTTTCACTTTCTTTACCAATATTATTTGTGTGGATTTTTTTTTTTAAATTCTCTTCAAGAGAATGAAACATATCCAAGTAGAGATTTATGATCTTACATCAGTAGCTCATTGTTTTTCTTAGTCTCAAGAAGACAAGATACAAGTATAAACTTCTTTATTCTCTCTCAATCATGTCTCTTTTGGACAACATTACTTGTATGAAAAATATATTTTTCAATATATATGCATCATTAAAATTTCTTCGAGAAATTTTACTTTTTAAACCCAACATCCAACATAGTTGGGATTTATTTACAGACTTTAGGTCTTGTAATCTTTAGATGCAACACACATAATGAGCTTTAGGTAATCACATTTAGGTGATGATACCTTTCTTTGGATTGTTCTCCAAAACTTATAGATCTTTTAAATTCAAGCCATAAACTTAAACCCACATACATAGATGGTAATAAAAGATGATATGGGC